TTTTAGAGAGAGTGTCTTACTCTGTCACCTAGGTTGGCTGGAATGTAGTGGTGCAATCATGGCTCACTGCAGCCTTGACCTCTCAGGCTTACGCAATTTTCCTACTTCAGCCTCCAGAGTAGCTGGAACTATAGGTGTGCACTACCAAGCCTGGCTAATTTTTGAAAATTTTTTATAGAGATGAGGTTTTGCCATGTTGCTTGGGCTGGTCTCGAACTCCTGAGCTCATGTGATCCACCCACCTCAGCCTCCCACAGTGCTGGGATTAAAGGCGTGAGCCACCCGATGCGCTTACATGTTTACTGGCTACTTTTCCTCACTACAGCATAAGAAACTGCTCACAGCTTATTCTCTGTGCCTGGCACATGGTAACACTCAGTGCCCCTGGAGAGGTTGGCGGGGGCCCCCCAGGTGAGAGGCCTTTGCTTACCTGAAGTTTCCGCAGGAAGCGCTCTAGAGCAGGCTTGCCCACAGACTGGATTTTGCTGCGGTCGAGGCGGACCCGGGCATCTGGGCGCCCATCGGAGCCTGTGGTGGGAGTGATGGTAACGAGTCCCTCCCCAGCCTCCAGCAAGACTCTCAGGATCACAAACCGGGCCTGCATATGGGCCTGCCGGGGCGGAGGAAAGATGACATTTGCAGCCTGTATCAAGTGCTTGGTTCTAGGCCTGGTCTATAGTATATGCTCATTAACTGGCAACTGTTACTGTCAATCTCCCCCACCCTGCGGGTCCTTTATTGCTTATTCCCCTCCCCTCAAATGCTTCCTCCTTTCTCAGCTCACAGAGAGGGTAGGCTGCCCTAGGAGACAGGGAGGCCATTTCCAGGCAGGACCTGGTGCCTGTGCTTCCCATGTCATCCACTGTGACCCCTGCTGCTCCAGATCCCCCCCTGAGGACAGCAGCTACCCTCTCCAGGGCCCCCAAACACTTCTTCCTCCACAACCTTGTTTGTGCTCAAAAGTGGAACCAAGTAGGCATCATTATCCCATTTATGGATAATAAAATAGAGGCCCAGAGAGGTAGAGGGACTTCCTTAGGGGCACACAGCTAGTAAAGGAAGAGTCAGGACTCAGACCCATATTTCTGGACTCTGAATGACATTACATCACCTCCTCAAACCACACCCATCTGATTTTGTCAAAAAGTTTCTATTGTTTACTCCTTGTCCAAAGGACACATAACTGAGCGGTGGAGTCGAATGGCCCCAGAGGCACCGTGTGGATGCGAATACTGGCTCTGCCACTTAGCGGCAGGTGGCTTCATCTCCTTGTGCCTCAACTTCCTCATCTCTAAAATGAGGATAACAATAGCACCTACCTCCTGGGATAGTTAATTCATGGAGAGCGCTTAGAATTGTGTGTTGCAGCCAGGCGCGGTGGCTCACGCCTGTAATCCCAGCACTTTGGGAGGCCGAGATGGGAGGATCACGAGGTCAGGAGATTGAGACCACTCTGGCCAACACAGTGAAACCACATCTCTACTAAATACAAAAAAAATTAGCCAGGTGTGGTGGTGTGAGCTTGTGGTTCCAACTACCCAGGAGGTTGAGGCAGGAGAATTGCTTGAGCCTGGGCAGCAGAGGTTGCAGTGAGCCAAAATTGTGCCACTGCACTCCAGCCAGGCAACAGAGAAAGACTCCGTCTCAAAACAAAAAACAAAAAACGAATTGTATGTGGCACAGAGTACACCAACTGCAAGGAGTCCTAATAAAGTCACCTTGTCTGATTCACCCTGAATGGTGGTCGGGGAGAGTCCCACTGCCATTTCACAGAGAGGAATTCTGGGGCTCACAAGAGTGATGTGACTTGCCCTTAAATAGTGGAGTCTGGGATTAAACTCAGTTCATCTGCCTTAAAGGTACCGCGGTCCCATCCTTGCACCCTGATCTTGGCACCCACTGCAGGCTCTCTTCTGCCTCCTGGGGGCTCCACCCAGGCCCCACCTGTCGCCAGCTGGAGGCCTCAGGTGTGTAGAACTCCAGAGCGAGCAGCCCAGCCCGAACCATGTTGAGCCAGTTCACGTAGATCACATCCTCCGCATCAGCCCCCTCAAAGCCAAAGATCCTGTGGGAGGGGCAGGCAGGGGGCGAATGGTCAGAGGCTGCCCTGTGTCCCTCCCACCGACCTGGGACAGCCCACCCCTCAGCCCTGCTGCGCTTACTCCAGCACTTGCGGGTGGAGACAGAGGTAGAGCCCCACGCTCTCAGCCCGGCACTCTTCATAGCTGGAGGCAATGGTGCTGAACTTGCTGTCCCACGTCTCCCCACTCCGATACCAGCTCTGAATCTGGAAAAGGAGCTGGACTGTCAGGCTTAGAGTGGCCAATGCCCCACTGGTGCCCACCCTTCCAGCACCTGGGGGTCCGCCGAGGCCTCCCTCACCTGCTCGCCCGTCTCTGGGTTGATCACTGTCTCCTGGTCAAAGTTGAATGCTCCTTTTTCATCCTGCAGAACACAGGGCGAGTGAGGGAAAGGCACCCCTGGCTGGGTCCAGGCCTCCAGCCCCAGAATCTGTGGGCCCGGAGAGTAGCTCAGAAAGGCAAGCGGGAGCACAGGAGCGGGTGGCGGGAGCAGCAGGTCTGTCCACACACTGACGCCTGCACAGCCCTGAGCCCTGTGACGCTGGCTGCCTCCTCAGAGCCATCAGGAGCGTGAGAACCAGGGCTGCCTACCCCACCGCCAGAGAGGAAAACTGAGGGCCAGACAGGGGAGGGACCCACCCCAAGTCCTGTGAAGACCCAGATCTGGTGTCTCCAGACCCCAGTGGGAGATGCCCCAAACATGTGGGCCAGAGAACCCAGCTGTGCCCACCATGGGCTTCCGGCTGGGCTCCTGGCTCTGCCAGAGGAGGTCACAGTGTCATCCTCACCCTCCCATTGCGTGCCAAGCATCTTTCAGGCAGCATCCTTTTTTTTTTTTTTTTTTTAAAAGACGGGGTTTCACCATGTTGGTCAGGCTGGTCTTGAACTCCCGACCTCAGGTGATCCGCCCGCCTTGGCCTCCAAAGTGCTTGGATTACAGGCGTGAGCCACTACGCCCAGCCTCAGGCAGCACCCTCTGAGGACAGTGCTACTATTACCCCACTTCACTGACGAGGACACTGAGGCTCAGAGCCTAAGAGCCCCAAGATGGAGTCAGAGCACACAACCTCCATGGACACTGTCTCTCAACACTAACACCTGCTTGCTGAGGACCTACTGTGTGCCAGGTCTTACTGTCTGTCTTCACTTTTAGTCCTCACAACAGCCCACATGGTAGGTGTCAGGAACGTCATTTTACAGATAGGCCAACTGAGGCTCGGTGAAGGAGCTGACTTATCCAAGGCCACAGCCTGGATAAAGGCTGGACAAGGCACTCCACCAGACTGCTGCCCCAGCAGCTGCTCTCTGCAGCCTCCTGACCCTGGGGCCCAGCTCCAGCCCTTCCCCATCCAGGGAAGCAGCCCCATTCCTGGGGAACAGGGCCCACCCAGAACCCCACCCTCGGAGGGGAGGGTCCACACCCCACCCCACCTCTGGTCATCTCCATGCTGGGGGTCCACAATCAGCTTTTTCAGCCCTCCACAAAAAACTGTCTGTGTTTCCATATTCCCTGGGTAGGTGTGGAGGGGGCTCCAGCCACTCTGGCCGGCTGGCAGGAAGGGGCTGCTCTGGGGAGAAGTGGCTCCCAACAATACCTGGAAAGGCCCAGGCTCCACAGAACAGCAGTGCAAACAGACAGCACTGCCGCCTCAGATGGGAGTAGCAGAGATGCCACCTGCCCCAGCGTCTGTCCTGGGGCTGCTGGAGTCACACCCTTAGGGTACGCTTCCTTAGCCTGAGCCAAGCAATTCCTCCTGGTGTGGGAATGGCAGCTGAACTGTCCTGAAGGTCCCTCTATACCTCTACACTCAGGCATCTGGGACATCTTGAGGGTGGGCAAGACAGAGTCTTCTCTACTTAAGGGGCCATTTTCCCCACCTGACCCACAGCCCCCAAGGGCAGAGGCTGGAGCAGCTTCACCACTGGGTAGGGCAGGTTGTGGGAGAGTGGAGCTGTGGGCGGGGGTGCCAGGGCTGGCCGCTGCCTTCTCACCTGCACGAAGAGCTTGCCACTGCCATGGCCCAGCAGCTCATGCAGGCCCACCTGCACATCGAAGGAGGGCCCCTTCCAGAGGATGTACAGGTCCTGCCAAGACAGCAGAGAATGCAATGTCTACTGGCCGGCCCCGGCCACAGAGCCTGTCACCCTCCCCTCCCCTGGGCCATGGGCCCAGCTCAGTGCACGTGCTTGGTGAAGGCCAGTTGTGCTCCACCCCACAGCCCATCTCATCTTTGCAACAACCCAGGCGGCAGGGAGGGATGCCTCCCCAGTGTGACCCAAGAGGACACTGAGGCTCCAAAGTCCGCATGGTCACGTGGCTGGGAAGTGGCAGAGCCAGGACTGAAACTGCACTTTCCTTTCTACTGCTCTGGGCTGTCCGCCTTCCCAAGTCCACTTCAGGCAGGTGAGGCCCAGCCCCGACCCTCTGACTACTGGCGCCCACCTTGTCCTCCTCCTCCAGAAAGGTGAGCTTTTCCCGCTGCGTGGCGTAGGCCACAGCCAGCACATTCCCCAGTGAGACATTCTTAAAGCCTTCCGTCTGCCTCAGGTCATCGTCTGGAGGAGAAGGCGGAGAAGGACCAGGAAGAAGAGGTGAGGGTCAAAGGCCACAGACAGGAGGCACAGGGCTGTTTGTGGAGGGTGTGCATGTGGAGAGGGAGGGGCGGCTCTAAAAGGAGGCTTCTGGGGCTTGGGGGCTGGGCCTGAGGACACTCACAGTTGGGGATGTTGATGCCAGCAGGGATGCCAGAGCCAGCGAAGGTGAGAACATCCAGGGAGGTGAAGTCCGGGGTAAGAAACTTGTCCTTCTCAAAGGCTGGGGGCCAGGGCAGCTCCTTCAGCAGCTGCTCTGCGCTCGCCACCAGCCGCTCAAACTTGGCACTCATGGCCTTGTTCACCACGGCTACGAAGCCTGCAGGGGAGGGAGGGGGCTGTGGCTTGGCAGGGTTCCAGGAGGGCTCCCACTTCACCCTACTCCAGCCATCATGCATGTACTGAATGGCTACTGTATATGATCACTGTGCTGGTGGCTGGCAACGGCAGTGACCCAGGCCTGGGCCCTACTGGGTCAGGACTGGGACAGGAAAGCTGCGGCTGCACAAACGTGTCTCCCACTCAGGCCCCTGGGCCACCTGCCCCTTCCCCCTGGGCCTGGGTCTAGGGGCTCACACATGAGCCCCATCAGGCTGTGTGCTCTCCCTCCTCCCAGGCTAATCTCTTCGGTTTTAGCAGGCAGATGCTCAGAATCTTCTACATCCAGGGGCTAGGGAGGGTTAAGGCAGTCAGAGAAGTGGCTGAATCCTCAGGCTGGACGCCCCACCTTGCACAGATAGGTCCCCTGGGGACGTGGGTGGGGGCTGAGGCAGCCTGCCACCAGCCTGGGATGACAGCCTCGGGTCAGGTCTACAGTCACAATGTCTATCCTGCTCCCAGACACTGAGTGCAGCAGTCTGCATGCTAATCACACTGATGCTCAGAGGCTGGGCTAGTTGGCTCAAGATCACACAGCCCGGGTGTGGTGAAGCTGGGCTTGGGAGGCACATGTCTATTTGGAGCCTATGCTCTGATCAGACACCAGAGGCAGCACAGCAAACGGGCTCAGAGTCAGGGTTCCCGGGCCACCCCGCAACTGTGCCCCAGTGCCCACACCTGTTAAGATAAATCCTCATGGGATGATGAACCCTAAATTAGTTAATATAGGTAAGCTTCTTACAACAGTGCCAATACATTGTAAATGGTGTTTATTTACCATGGCTGTTCTTATTGTTATGATTATGGCTGAGGAGGGTGGGGAGAACCCTCAAGGGACGCTTGAAACATGGACTTGGAGGTAGAAAAAGGGACTGTGACTGACCTCCCCCTACCCGAGGAAGTTACCTTCAAATTCTCCTCGGGAACCAAAGGGGTCACGGTAGCTCTCGATGAACCCGATGTAACTGGGGGAGAAAAGGGCAGAGGTAGAGGAGGGGCGGGCAGGAGGGGTGGGCAGGGTGGAGCTGGCGCCTCACCTCTCCACGATGGGGCCTTTGTCCTGGATCCAGAAGCGGGAGCCCCTCTTGTGGGCCTCGATGGAGCCCTGGGTGAAGCTATCTATGTACTGGGCCAGCATGTGCTTCTGGTGGCTGTTGGCTGCATACACCTGGGGTAGGGTGGGGACAGTCAGCCTTGGGCCGCCCACCTACCTCCACACCCCCCTCTGCTGCCCAGCAGGGTCCCCAGCCTGCACACCTCAGCCCCCAGCCAGTCCAACCTTGGCTTTGTCCAGCTGCTCCACCACCTTCTGGAGGATGGGTGCATAGTCCCCCCGGGTCACCTGGAAAGGGCTTCCCCGGAATTCATAGCTCTTCAGCTTGGAAGTCACCTCGGAGTCTGGGGAAGGCTCTGGGGAAAAAAGGCATCACTCAGAGAAAAGACTGGAGTAAGACACCTCAGCCAGCTCTTCCCCATAGCACTCTTTTACTGTAAGATCTTCAATGGCTCCCTGTGCCAACAGACATGAGTATAAACTCTCATCTTAAAAAATATATATATCGGCCGGGCGCAGTGGCTCAAGCCTGTAATCCCAGTACTTTGGGAGGCTGAGGCGGGTGGATCACGAGGTCAAGAGGTCGAGACCATCCTGGTCAACATGGTGAAACCCCGTCTCTACTAAAAGTACAAAAAATTAGCTGGGCATGGTGGTGCGTGCCTGTAATCCCAGCTACTCAGGAGGCTGAGGCAGGAGAATTGCCTAAACCCAGGAGGCAGAGGTTGCGGTGAGC